GGCAACGCTAACCAAGCATGACGTATCAGCCTGATTTGAAGGTGGTTCTTTCATCAAGTCATTCGGTGCACGGCATCTTAGACTATGTTAGATCTTGTCGTCAAAATGTGGGCTACATATGGACGGACAAGGTCTTCAGTTGAGCGGCAAAAATACCTGGGATTTATGACTCGTTCTCGCCTACAATTTGATTTGTGATTTACACTTTTATGATCACAAGGTCACTGTACCACGACAACGATCGCATGACAAATGAATTAACTATTCTATATAGGCCAAGGTTCAGATGAGTGAAACAACATATTCAGCATAACAACCTTTGCACGGTTTGATAGCGATCCAACGACCTTCAGTGCCCGAACGACTCTTTAATATCACGTGACAATGTGGCGCGACCCTCATAGCGATGGCAGGCAAAATGGAATGCAACTTTGTAAACACCTTGGCAATCAGAGCCGTGATAATTGAAGTTTCAAAGATTTCCGCCCTAACCACTATCACGGAAACAAAGAGGCACAAACAACTGTGCAGCAAGTATTGTGCGGCACTACAGACGTGTGAGGGGGGAGAATTCTTACCAAAATGAGGTGATCAGGAACTCCTTTTTTTAATTCCTGGAATGCTATGCAAAGTTTCCTGGGGGTAAACTCAGATTGTGGCAGACTTTCTGCTAAAACAAAGTATTACGGGGCGCTAGAATACGAGTCATAACCATCGGTTATATAAAATTACACAGGTAAAAAATTAGTTACGAATAAACTCATTTCGGCAGTACGGTTCACCAGACTCAAATAATATTAATAATGTGTGACCTGCTCTTGTCTGTTCAACTGTGATAGATCACGAGAAACTGTGGCAACATTCTTGCATTACATACTAGATGTGAACTGAGTTTGTCTCTCATACAGCCAAGGACTGCGCTGTTGGTGAGTTACAGTCAATTATTTAGGGTTGTGCCCTTCCTTGGACGTAGACTAGGACAAGGGAAACTGTTAACCGGAACCGTATGTCTAAGTCACCTAGTTGCACACGATTGGGTGCTCAATCTACCAATAAACCTAACTCGCCCCTAGCTGGTTTAATCGTGTGGGGTTTAAATTGGGACAGGGCCAACGATATATATATATATATATATATATATATATATATATATATATATATATATATATATATATATATATATATATATATATATATATATATATATATATATATATATATATATATATATATATATATATATATATATATATATATATATATATATATATATATATATATATATATATATATATATATATATATATATAGAGTTAATTAAAACAATAGCTGGCAGGTTTCGAGTAGCCATGGCGAAACACGAATAGGAAGTCATGAGAGACACGGCCAGCAGTTACTATAAGATTCGGGGCAGTATAACTGATCCCATATAGCCAGCTTTCGCCACTGTTCAGATTTGAAGTCGGAGAGAAAGCGGCAGTATAAACAGACAGCAGGGTCGTGACGAGCATTGAATGGTTCCAGAACAACTCAGTTCAGTTATAGCGTACGAAGGAACATCCTAACAACGATAGCAGTCTGCAGAGCACTGTTATAAGAGAAAATATGGAGGTCTGTCTGAGAGCCGAGTTAAGAGATGCGCAAATCTAAAGGAGATCGCGCAGTAACCAAACCAGTAAACAGAGGGCGGAAAAGGGCCTCCTGATAGTTGGGGTAAACAAGCGAACAGTTGCGCACAAACATAAACATGCCGAACTGATGGACGGCATGATTACGGAATAAGGGACAAAGGTCAGCAGGCCCTTGCAGTATAGCGAAGTGCCACAAGTCCAAGCGCGAGCCTAACGGCAACCCGTCACATTTCAGGACGATACCAACTGCGCCAATATCACAGACACACGGGTCGACAGAGAACAGAGTGGGCACGCGTGGTGGCTCGTGGCTAACTGGACTTCTCACTAGAATTCTGTCCCAGTTATTCACCTTCAATTCCAGGATAGGTGCCCTCTCCCGACTAACAACACTCGGTTCTAAAGCGGACAGACAATAAGTGGGTAATGCATCATTGTAGATGCGTCAGAGATGAGTGCGAGAAACAGCCATTTGATTGTTCGTCAGGTCAACTACGAATCCAGGACAACCAAGAACTAGGGGCTACGTTGTGTAGAAGAACACGGGAAATCAGACTACTCAGCAGTAGCCTGAGATAAACTTAAGTCCGACCGGTTTCATTCCTTAAACTGCCGTTCGAAGCTTTTGTGCAATCAACCTGTCGCTGGAGCGCGGATATATTTGCTTGTGCGCACGTAATAATTCAGATGTATCCAGCATCCTTTAATGGGGTAGGTGTAAGATGTTCGCTGCGCACGTCATCCGGAGTTCAAATCTCAACATGGTTAATGATACTGACTGACGATAAGCTCTAATCAGAGCGAGACTCGCGTCCAGGTTTGATGTGGAATAACTAGAATAATCGCACCGGGCCATGGAGGGGGCTGTTCAAACGGAGCTAACATGTATACAGATCTCGTACCCAATTTGTTCAGCATAGATCCAACCTCTGATTGGCCAATAGTATGGACACAGCAGTATCTGCTAAGTTGCCGATGCTGCGTCTAGAGTTGGATTTCCGGGTTTTCAACACGGTTTGCTCTGCAGTGATACACACGAGAATAGAATCCCAAACTCCGTTAAGCGGTAGACTCGTCATCTCTCCCGAAAAGTACAATCCGTACACGATATTACGTCAGTCGGCACAGAATCAACCGCCTAACCAACGGAAATGATCACTCCGGGTGCAGATCCTGTTCAGACAAGGATCATACCAAAGCAATCACGTGCCGGTTCTTCCTATAGTCTTACATTAACTACTAATAAGGCTATTTGCATGTCCAAGCTTATCCAGGTAATCTTTTATGGCTCATAACCCCTGCATCATTCGTCTAAAGTAACAATCCATGTCATGCTCCCCAAACGAGCTGAAAGCATGTGCTCAACTGCCACCACGATGGAATACGATTGGCGAAGTACTTTTGGACAACCCGTTGTTGATATCCGAAAATCCCAACCAGAATTTTAACTACTTCTCTTCATTCTTCAGTGTTTGGTTGAGGACTATTCAAGTGCTGGACTGACTTGTTGCTGGGGCGAGATGGCCCAAGTGGTTAGAGTGCGAATTTACTGACCGGAAGCTCCGTGGTTCGAACCCGACCTCTGCCTCTCGACTTCCCCTGTCCAGGCTTGGGCAACCTGGCAGTATCCCAGCCCTCGTGCAACCTTCGGGTGGTATGTCAGTTAGGCACCGAAAGGGTGCTATAGCTGGACGGTTTTGCTGCGACCATTCCTTCCAACGGCAAGTTTCAGTATCTGGACGCCACTCTAACGTCAACGACCTTCGTTGTACGGTCAGAACGACCACTTTTGCTTATGCAGGTTACGTAGTCCTGAGTCATTTGCTGGATGTAGTTCGGTATGCTTCAATGACACAGCGATGTTTCTAATCTTACAGAATAGGACGGACCTTGCGCAGGGTGTCGCTATAAACGGAACTAAACAAGCAAACCCAGATGCCTTTGGGAAGGACAGGTTTGTATATTGAATTTAGTTGCATATGCCACTATAAATTGGTTGAAGGCTGTAGGAAATATCCCATCACCATATTAAACTAACCGTGATCGAAGGTTAGCCCTGGTTAGCAGCACGTATGTTAGCATACAGACAACACTACTCAACGTACAACACCCAACCCAGGCTCCGTAACGACGCACTGATGTCACCTTGATTGATAACGAAACGTTTGCAATTAAACTGCCCAGCTCAGCGAACAAACCGACGACCATGCTACTTCACTGGAACACCAAAACGTATCGATTCAGTCAAGTACCGAAAGCAGCCGAGTTGTTGAGGATTCTAATATAAATTCTGACCACTGCCCAGAGGATCGATCGAAACATTCTGCCTTATAAAGCGCCCAATTACCCCTTATTACGATATCAAATGAATGAGTATGGTCAGGCGACGCGACGAGAAAGCGCGATGTTTTCCGGACCAAGAAGATTGATCCAGCAAGCTAGATCGAAGATTGTTGGAAGTCCAGGATTAAGGTCACAGTAGGTTCTCTGTGCGCAAATTAAGTATAAAAGCATACTAAATTCCAAACCGCTTGGAGAATGTTCTGAGCACACGCCCTCCCGAACATGCCCAAACAGTGTTGACGCCCAGTACTGCCGGGTCCGTGCTGGAGTTCAAAGGGTAGTACGAAAAGGTTCGGGTACAGGTTTCTTGACACTGACTTGGGGGAGGTCAATCACGAGTCAGCTTAACTTGAAGCATTCAAATAGATGAGCTGAGTGTCAGCAAATCCAGTCTCCTCCTTTCTTTGTAGGAAAATCCATTGAACGTCGTGCAGCCATGAAATGCCCCAAAACACGGTTAGAATATGTTGTTTACACGACATTGTGTAAAACCCATAATTTTTATGAATGTGCCCACATACCTGACGACTTACTTTCCTGCGGCAATAGGACTGGGCTCAAGCGGACATAATTTCACTCAAAAGCAAACAAACAACATAATACGCCAATCGGCTAGCCCATATCCGTGTTGCGGTACATCTTATGAGAAGCGAATCAAATCAACCCACTCGAACAGAGACCAGTCTCCCTGGAAACTCCACAACAAAGTGCCAGCAAGGCACGACCACCTTTGCGATCGCCTCTAAACGAAGCCAAACGCACTACTACGCGACGTAGAGTATGGTACACTGTCCGAATGAAGAAAGCGAGGCAAGAGTAGCTGTTGAACGAGTACGATGGGTGTAAGGAGTTACCAATCACATAACGCGCTAAGTTTGATGCCTCTTTATGGATAGTTTCTTGAGTAGTGAGTTTTTAGGGGATATTTTTTCATGGGGATGATTCTTTTCATGGCGTCCCTAAACTAACCAGACTCCCCACTTCGCTAACAGACATTAATAGAGTAAATAACAAGACTTAATCAATCGCTTATGCACAGCGCACATTTAGATACGTGCAATTTTTATGAAACTGAAGCTAAGTTAAGAAATAGGATAACAACGTTCAATGAGCATCAACGTGTACACATGAGGGCGTGGTGTTAGACAAACAACGTTTCCTATGAACGGCGTGCTTGAGAACAAAACGTAGGGCTGCAAGGATGATGTGAATGAAGGATAAATAAGCGAGCGAAGTGGATCAGACAGCACACATGGGTAGACACACGCGGTGAAGGTTGATCAAATATGTTTTCTAGAGGAAAACTGGTGCAAAAGGGGAATCATATTGGTGGGAGATGCCTGTACAGGAGTGTTCACCCCAATTATTGACCAGGCGATTGTGTGAGGATACTACAACGGCTGGGTCTGACGCAAGACAGCGTGTTCTTTAGTGTGACCGGATCGAAATCCAAGAGCATTGAGTTGGACACAGATGGGGCCGGAGTTGTTATCCCACCAACCGTTGCTACTGCGGGCGAACTCGAATTCGACAACAAATACGGTTGTTCCGACCCACGGGTGGAAAAGGTTGACTCGAATATTCGTGATCGAATATTTGCATTGGTCATTATTGGTGAGTTCTGACAAGCGTGCATCAGAACTAGACGGGAGTGGACTGGATTGGCACCGGAAAGGAGACGATTGATGGTCTCCGAGTAAGATAGCTAGAGGTGAACCAAACAGACGAATAACGAGATTATAAAGCTCTGCTGGTGTAATCCACCGAAAGCATACTGGTTGGACAGCATTCACGTTAACCAGACGGCAAGGGAAAGTCAATTGAGGAAGCTCACAACAATCAAGACTATTCAAGAGATGCAGCTGCCCGGTAGTGAAATGGATTCTGGAAAACGATATGCATATATATATATATATAGTGGACAAAAAGGCCCCAACCTCGTGAAGACTCAAAGGGAGTAATAACATTCAGCTGTAGCACCTTTTCGGTGCCTAGCTGCCATGCCGCACGAAGGAGGCACGAGGGCTGGGATACTGCCAAGTTGCCTAAGCCTAGAAAGGGGAAGTCGAGGGGCAGAGGTCGGGTTCGAACCAAGGACCTTCCGGTCAGTAAGTTCGCGCTCTAACCACTTGGTCCATCTCACCCTAAAAGGAGTAATAAGGCTGACTTTTGATAAGCATATATGCGAATTGCTCGCGATGTGTGTTGTTTGAATAATCTGATGACCACGTGGGAGCTGGGTGTACGATGACAGGATAGGACATGCCAAAATTCTTAAAATAAGCAGCTAGAGTGAATAACAGCACGGAAATGCTGCCCATGCATGCTCCTACAGAGAACAGCTTCGTAACTATGCACGGCGTGATGACCTCCGAATTAGTCGGTCGACTCATCCTATCCTGTAAGAAGGGGATAGGCAAGTCAATTCAGGTATTAACAGGAAGTTCCAAAAAGACGGGGCTGTGCAGTAATTTGGCCTGGATTTCGGCGTCAATATACGCTGCGCACCTTTGGTGGTTTTGTTTGACGGAACGCCTGCTTGGCAGATTCAGACCGAGAACTAAACTGAACAAAATACCGTTATTACACTACGGTCACCTACTCAGGGGAGAATTTCGTACACACCTAGGTTAGTTAACCTTGGTATCGATATGGCTGGTTTGAACAATGAATTACGCTCCTGGTTGCACGACTGACGGTGTCCATCGTCATCACTATCAGATGTACAGTGGTTATAGCTGCAAGTCAAACGGTATGTAAAACCATGAAGTGCTACAAAACTTGAACTGTCATTCCAATGCACCTCCACACTAATCGACAAAGTCAAACTGTATCCCCCACAGAAGATGACCCGATCCCAATCGAGTCACCGAAGAGCGTGGACTACTCCATTTACCTTGTTTCTGGTTGCAGAGTAACAACCTGTTACTCCAACGGATCAACAAGGAATCAAGACAGTGAACCACCATGCAAATAACGGTGTGCTCGTCGAGCATCTAAGGAAATCAACCACTTAAGTCCGACGGTTGCGAAATTCTACGGAGGTCAACGCATAGGAAAAACGTGAATCAAAAAGAGAAAAAGTATTGAAGTATTACACTATGTTCAGTCGACACACAACCAAGTCCATCGACATTCTCAAGCAGAACACGAATACGCCAAGCTAGTGCGATCAAACGATGATTAAATAATGCAAGCGAAAAACCCGGGTTAAGACGTAGATGAGCAACTCGGGTGCGCTTCTGCTTGAATCAAAGAGGCCACGCTGGTTTGCGGATGACCACTAGGAATGCTTTACTCAAACAGGTGACTAGATAAAGAGCGGCCAAATGAATAAAACAAAGTAGCGCTCTGGGACTCAAGAAAAAGGCTATTGAGGCATTCGTATACGAAAACAATGATCACCATCACCATCAACAGCAGCTGGGAAAACCGCGCACTTATCGTACAGGGGCTATAGCTGCCACAGTTCCGTTCATCGATGATTTTGGGGGCGGATATCTGTGCATTTGCGTCGGTTGTTGATAAAATTGAAGGGTAAATACAGGGTTGTTAGTGAACTTCTCAATGGGGAGAGCTATTCATTGAAGGCAATAGCTTGGATGAGCGAGCGCCATTGAGGGCGCAACTGGGCCGTGTCTGACGATATCTCTAAGCACTGATGTGAACCGTCTCTTATTCCCCGTCCGGGGAGAGAAAAATGGCCAGCGCAGCTGAGTTTGCTTGTAATGGATTTAATACTTCACTGTCATGTCACTATTTAGTCTCACCTGGCTCGTTTCCATCCTTAACGCGTTTGTGCGAAAAGAACCTTTCAGAAAGTCGGTCGATTGGCATACGAAACACGTGACTAAGCCAGCGCAACTTATGCAGTATGATCAGTTCATCTGTCGTGGGTGAGTCATTTCTTCCCAATACCGTTTGATTAGCATTGCTGATCAGGTGTTACCACAACACTCGGGCATTGCTCCGAAGACATCGATGGTCAAACACTGAAAGTCTTTTGACGTCCTCAGCGCGCAATATGGAACGCACTGCAGGATTGTAAACTCGACCCTTGACGGATAAGCTGATGTCACGCCTACGCCACAGGTGACGCAGGTTCACAAAAGCTGCTCTGGCCTTTCGCGAGACCACCGGGACTGATATAGCTGACCAGGTAAACAAATTTGTCTACTACCTCAATCGGTTCATCCGCAAGAATGAGGCTAAGGTTCGAGATCACCCGATCTTGCAGCAGCACTTCACACTTTGCAGTTGTGACGCATTTGCGAAACCGCGAGGCAAAATTAGTTAGGTTATTCTAAGGTTCGGATCACCCTATCTTGCAGCAGCACTTCACACTTTGCAGTTGTGACGCATTTGCGAAACCGCGAGGCAAAATTAGTTAGGTTATTTAATATTGTTCGCATCACCACGGCGCCAGATTCAAGAAGAGCTATCTCGTCTGCGTACTCGATCACTGTGAGCGGACGCCCAGGAAGCAGTTCGACCCCACAAACAGTAGAGCCTGATAGTGAGTCTTCCATAATCGTACCAATGGCGAAGTTGAAGGTGAAAGATGACAGCCTTGCCTGAAGCCACTCTATGTGGTGAACTCAGGCGAGAGCTTCCTGTAGACCTTCACATGTCCGCGGAAATCGGCGTACAGCGCCTTAACGGAGGTCAAAAATTGATGTGGGACACCTTTGCTTCATAGACACTACGATAGTGGTGGCGGTCCACAGAGTTGAAGACAGCTTTCAGATCAAGAAACACAATCGTTGTTAGTCGCTGGAAGCAGTGTCGCCGTTTGAGAATCTGCCGGAGGATGATGTGGTCGATGCAACCTCTTTTGGGATGAAACCCAGCTTGGTTTTCACGGATCTCTCCTTCCCAGTGTTGAATAATAATAATTGCTCAGCTGTAGCACCCTTTCGGTGCCTAATTGCCATGCCACCCGAATGAAGCACGAGGGGTGGGATACTGCCAGGTTGGCCAAGCCTAGACAGGGGAAGTCGAGAGGCAGAAGTCGGGTTCGAACCACGGACCTTACGGTCAGTAAATTCGCGCTCTAACCACTTGAGCAATCTCGCCCCCAGTGTTCAGTCGAACTTCGAAAGATAAGACCAGAGAGCACATTCAATGCCACGGTGGCTTTCACACAGCGTCCGCGTGTGTGAAGCTAGGAATAACCTAAAACACTCCGTTCTGCAGACACTTTACGTTCACTTCATATCGCACTATTCGGTTGTGTTAGACGGGTCATTAGGGATTCTCTACCCTCTTGGAACGGGACTGGATACAGACCGCACGGTCCTGGTGAATCTCCACGTTTCAGCTCGGATATTTCGTACTTTATTTCTTCTTCCGATGGATGATCAAAGTTTACATTCCATTCGCCCGTATGCACTATCTCCAACGGCTGTGTTGCGGGAGGCCAGCTAAACTGTTCTTCGGTGTTCGACTCATCTTTCCAGTCGACGTTATTACGAACCATCTTTTTCACTGATCGTTTCCCCCGACACTGCTTTCCTAGGGCCAGTTGGTCAGTTGATCCAAGGCACAGCCATTTCCCATAGCAGAAGCCTTTTCCATCTCCCGGGCCTTTGGTGTCCACCAAAGCTCTCGGTCTTTCCTTAGGCTCTTTACTATTTGGCGTTTGAGGGATTATCGTGAGCCGTCGTACTCATGGCCTGTTGGTGTGGATTTCCAGGCATGAATCATGAATAGCGATCTCAATTACATCCACTGGTCTTGTAGTCGAATCAGGCAGGTTGGACAAACAGCAATAAACGCCGCTAGCATAGCTCCTTTTACAGTTTGCCATGCTTCATCTACGTTCCAACTACCAGTACAGTAGTGGTTTACTGTGGAGGGTTGTTGGGCCAGCTCAGATTGATGCTGTTCAGCTATGGTAGTTCTTCCAAGATTATGGATTGGTATGCTTCTTGCTGAGTTGCGAGGGCCTGAGGGGAAACAAGCTATCAGGCGTGCACGCGCCATGGAGTGATCGGGATCAAGTTGTGTGCACCAGAAGGAACGACAATCTTGAATTGTAGTTCTCCATCGGTGGCTGATGGCCACATGATCCAGCTGGGTCCACGGTTGAGTGGCAGCTGGTGGCCACCACGTTACGCGATGGGAATCTTTATTCTGAAAGTTCGTACTAGCCAGAAGCAGTTCACGATCAGCACACAACTAGAGGAGTCACTCTCCGTTGTCTGTGCGGCGAATATCGATTGATCGTGCTACTGACCAGTCACCAACCACAAGACTGGAACAAGGAGACGATAGGGAAAGAGGAGGGGATACGCTAAGTCAGAACAATGGGTCGAGGATACCTTGTGCCATTTGATTGGGTGGCTAGTTCCTAAATTGGGAGTCCAGGAACACTCAGTACGCAATGAACACGTTTTGCTGGGTTCAGGAAAACAGTGAAAAAACGACTGAATGATTGTTGATAGCGACTGGATTTTTCAGCATGTTGACAGAGTCCCGAAAGGTTGACCTATGTGATCCCGAGTTTTTACCGACGGGGATAGCCGAGAACACAAGTGAGGATGAATTTTTCGTGAGCCCCCTGTAGCCTATCGATCAACCTTCTTGAATCACACGGTAGCTCGAAAATGATATACGTGCAGGAGCGATAAACAATATTCAAATAGACAGAAGAGCAGGACATATTTACAGCAGGCACTGTAAGCTGCTCACTGAGCGAACAAGCGGCAGGTCGCGCAGGGGACGCGCGTGAAAAAACAAGTGAATAATGGGACGCAACAATACTCTAGAAAGACATTTTATCTGACCTTTTTCGTGATCCACTCTGGAGTCGTTGCCGAAAGAAGCGAAGATGCTTGAAGCATTACCCAAAGAGCCGTGTTGAACGCGCTTAACGTTTGTTTGGATGTTGCAGACTGGGCGACGGTTTCCTCAAGAAGATTGCGTTGAGAAGGCATTAGGGCTGCAGCTAGAAATGAGAGCTGCCAATCTGCAACGAGCAGTTCACAGGCCTAGGAAAGAAAATGAAACGATTTATTCGATAAGAGTTTACTGAACTGCAAAAACACTACTAAACTTGCGACTATCGCCTCTGAAAGGAGTTGAAGCGTTTTTACTCGGCGATGAATATCCTCCAACATGCAAGTCATCTTACGCTGCGACTGCGATCAGTGAATTCAGACGGTGCTCAACCACCCGGACAATTAGGTGAAATGGTCGTGAACGAGTCCGTGATTGCAGAAGGCATAAAGTAAACATGTGGAAAACAGAATACATAACAATTTGTCTCTCGTATCCGTAAATTGACCACCCTGTGCTATTCTGTTTGGATTGTCTAACCAATCAGATGCGCGTAACGATGCGGTGTTGAAAGGAGTTTCATAGATGGGTCAGATGATAATGACAAGGCCCAGGATTCAACATCCCAGTAGCAGACAGCGGTATAGTTACACGGTGATTCCCAACCGGAAAGAGCAAGTACAGATTCTTTTTCACGAGTATTCAGTCCTTACAGTCATGAAGAGTTGGGTTGTGTTTGTAGCACAGTGGTTTGCACCGATCGGTGAACAAAATTTAATTTTGCCAACCTTGTTTGGATTGCATCAACCCTCGGCGTGATTTTTTGGAGTCAAATGTGTGAACAGTTGCGTGCACTGAATGTTCCCACAACGTTGCACTTCCGGCAAGGTCTTTCTGTCCATCACTGCTGGACAGTGATGGTCTGTGCTCTTAATTCGATCGGATAATGTATCTAACATCAACAGCTGTGATAGTTATGCCGCATATAGCGCACGTCAAATCCTCATTTACCAAAGAGTGCTGTTTTCCGTGCCCGAATCCGAGTGGTGCACGCAGACGAGCATGAAAGAAGTTACTAAAAGTCTGGGTATTATCGGTGTGACCTGCCTTCCAAGACGGGGTCCGCGTTATTCCTACTGCTCATGGTTTGAGACGCTGCAAGATATGCCTGCCAGCCGATATCAGTGAAGTAATTGTCAGTTTTTATCCAGAGTGCCTGGATTCGTAGGCACCTGGGAATGATTGCGGTAGGTTAACGCAAGATCTCCTCCCGATCCACTTTTGTCCTTTTTTTCACAGTGAGGCTTTCAAACGAATCACGACTGTACGGCAATGAAGCACCTGTTGGACAATGATTCTGTTGAGGATGATGATTGGAATGAGTAACAAGAAACGTCAGACTGTTCAACTCGTGGGACGATTATACTAAAGTATACCGAATATCGTATCCGTGTACACAAAACCCGGCCGATTTGTTTCCTTTCTCAGCTGGCTTATCAATGCTTGTTTTGAATATCATGACGGACATGAGTGTCATGCACGCTGACGGCTTAAAAATAACTTCATGAGATCAGGGATCTCCAGTCTCCGTAGGACGCAACATCGACATGGTGACGAGGGTTGGATAGGGAGTGTGACAGAAAAATTTAACACCACTGTTCCAGTTGGATCGAACGACCATCGACCGACCAGATGAAGAGCACCACTTACAAATCGCTCCTGAGTGTTACTAACGGCCACGCCAGCACTTTTTCAGTTGTGAGCTCAGGAGGGTTTTCAGGTCCTGACCAAAACAGCAGGACTTCCAGGGACGTGTATGGACGGAGGTGTTCCGAGGTGCAGCAGGATCTGAGATATCCGGAATGGGCTGGTTTTTACCGGCATTGCTGTCAACACAGAAGGCTCCGAAACAGGGAGAGACAATTTGCTGCCTGATTGACTGTTACACAAATGTGTGTAGAATCTAGCAACCATACGGGAAAATCAAGATCAAGGAAAATGAGGCATTAAAATATACCAGGGGAGATGACTCACTAGCATCCAAAACAGGGGCGGATTCATGTTTTCCGAAACGTCTGTCACCGACTGATCGGGTGCTCCGTGGCTTGAATTGAGCTCCGATAGTTGTTGCAGACATTTCCTCAACAACATTGCAGCACGTTGGCAGCCAGAAATTGAATCACGCGTGAATGACGACGTACCAGTGTGTTGCAGGCGTTGTAACGAGCTGAAAGAATCAAGAGTAGAGTTGGAAACATTACACGATTCAGCAAAATGATGGCTTAGTCGTCAACAAGAGGGCACTGTGGATAGTCTAATCTCTGCCGTGCACGCCCCTGATGTTGAACGCAGTCAGTATTGTGCCCATGTTGGATTTGGTCCCCATCTGCGAGCCTCTGCAGGCCAATTAAAGCTTATGCTGCAGGCGCGGTAGAAATGAGAAGACTATCCAATATGTGCATCGGGGACGTACTTGTGCCGGCCGATTCCAGCATCCACATACCACTCCAGTTTACGCGTACAAATTTGACCTAGTGACTTGAAATGAAAACATCCACCTGCTAGAAAGCTAGTCACATGACACCCGGATAGCCAATCTGATTGCCGAACAACGGTAATTTATGCGATTCATTTAGTTGAAAGGTATGCACGGAACGTTCGGGTTCAATTATATCTCAAATTGGCCATCAGAACTAAGAGAACAAAGGGTTCAGTAAACAAATCACCTTTTAATATCATTTAGTACGTAAGTATATGTGCGAAAGATCAAACAGTGTCCAAGAAACTTTCGTGGAAGTGTTACATGTTACCTGCGAATTTAGTCACCAACGATCTCAATGCGCGGTTTGGGACCATTTCTACCTACCTCTCTGTCTAAAACCGTATTCACAGAAAGATCATCCTCGCATAACTGCACCCCCACTTCTTGCCGATGGTATTCATTACTCTTCTCACCGCTGATGGATGGTACCTCTTACTGACGCTATCATGGCAAGAGTTCCTCCGAACTGTTGCGCCAGTTGGTCCACTCGCCTGTGTTTTCCACCACACCCCTACCAAGTTGTTGTGCCTCGTTTTAGGGCTGATCTTTCATCCTCAAGACGGATAAACTCTATATACCATCGTAAGCTCCAAATCAAGATAGATGTCCAGTTGGTTGTCACATATTTCACTTGTAGAGGGTCCCTTGTGATGGGGATAACCCACCTTCGAAACTGATCGTTATTTAATAAAAATCGAAGTTGTAATGCAGTCAACAAAAGCAAAGTTTCACCGCCAACCAAAGGAATTCTGAGGGGTGGCCAGCCGCTTGTTAATAATTTCGAGCGATAACCAGACAGTTGTGCTTTCTGTGCCCGAGCGTTCGGTACTCCTGTTTGAAGTGCAGCGAGTTCGGCGTCGAATCCGTATCAATTGGAATGCCCCACGATCCGATAAACGAGCTATCATTGACGAGCAAGCGAATTACCGAACAACCCTCCATACATGATTGGTATAAAACGGTGGAACTGTGGTGAGAGCGGTGTTTTGGGAAAGCTCCTTCTGGCGGACACAAAAATCAATCAATTGAACAGCAGGCGAAGTAGTAAAGTAATTCAAGCCGAATCGAATACACAACAATGTTGGTGGACGACAAAGCGCGGCTACTCTTTTTTTTTGCGTCACCAAGAAACACTTCAGCACTGCTAATACTTGATGAAAACCTGCAGTACCCGTAGCAACGGGTACACACGACTCAACCGTGTGTGAAATTCCGACCCGGGAAGAGCTTCTGAGGGAGAATCCACCCGTAACCAACGAGGAATACCAGGGAAGTGTGTGGAGCGAGGGGAGGGTATGTTCTGCTTTCATCAGCATTTAACCAACTCAAAACAATAAGACGACTGCTGAGCAGTATAACTGCTTAACTATTTGTGGGACCCGATAATTGCAAACAATAAGCTTTAAATCGATTCGTGTTTACAGTACGAATTTGGTCGGCTCCTCAGAAATCCATGACTGCCCACTAACTGAATCTCGATAAAAAATCTGATAAGGTTGAGCTACTCCGGATCTGATCGCAATTTTTAATGTGCTGGCATGAAGAATTTTTAATATGCAACGGTTGGGAGAAATTTTCTAACATGTGTTTTCATCAAACCAGATGATACTCACGAGTACAGAGAGGAAATTGGCGGAGCGGTAGCTACTTAAACAGGAATGCAACAACATCATTGTCAGCTGTAATAACCGCGTTCTTGTCGTACAGTGGTTGCAGCTGCCACAGTTTCGTTCACCGTTGATCTGGAGAGGTGGCGTAGATAGCTGCGCATTGGAGGCGGAAGCTGATAAGTTGGTGCGTAAATACAGCACTGTCAGTGGACTGTCAAGTGGGGGGATTGGGAAGAGAGCCATGCATTGAAGGCAATAGCTTGGATGCACGAGCGCCATTGAGGGCGCGACTGGGCCATGTCTGACAATGTCTCCAACTAATTGGTATTTAGTCAATATGCAACACCAAGTCATTCGGTCAGAACAGTAGACTATCTCTAATAACAGGGATTTTTTTGTAAAAAAAACACCCCAGTTTTAACCGGTTCTTGCTTGGCAGAGGTCAGCCCTCAGAAGATGCCAGTTTTGTTCAATCCCTTGAGGTGGTATCTTCTGGGAGGGGGACAATTGCATGAAAGCATTCTCGTAAGTACTATACCCATATCCCGAGTAGTTCGCTATAACAAAACAAGGCAAAGTGAACGGGGTGCAATAGGATTCTGTCCCTCCACCACAAATTTGTTTTCATTTGCAGTTGCCATCACAGTTCAAACCTACGTGGACGAAGATTGCTGTGGACAAGCGCTACTAGTTTCCGTACTCCCAAGCACAACGTGCGCAATCTTAGCCCGACAGCGGCAAAGCCGTGCACGATCTGTCTTACTGAGGACACTGATGAATGTTAAACGAACTGTTAGCAACATCATCGAATGCCATTCACACAGCACCACCAATTCTATCAGGGGCATAAAAGTGATTATGCTCAGCTGGTGATTGTGGAGGACACTCACCAGTAAGTTAACCAGGCAGATTCCGCTAAAGTACCAGTATGCGGACACTTTAGGACGTCTTGTGGTGGCCGTTCCAGAATTGGGGATGCGTAAGTTGTGTTGGATTCGCTCATTTGTGTTGGAAGCGTTGCACACCGAGCACGATTATACCAAGCAGCATGGATGAATTTAGCCCACCAAACGTCCTTAGAATCAGCGTCCTGTGGAGTGGACGCTGCTAAATAAACAATATGACAAAACAAGTTAAATAGTAGAGAAAGGGTGAAATCATCGGAGGTGAGATACCGTCACCAAATAACTGACATACACCTCTTACATCGACTGTGCAACGGACTGAAGTAATTTCTTGGTCCGTTTTCATGGACCAAGGCAAACAAGAGGTACGGTCAACAATATCAGGTTTGGAAACCAGCAATCGTTACGTGGTGCTTTCCAAAGTCAGGGGACCTACTGTTTCTACACAAGTTATCAACCTCTTTGATCGAACACAATTATATCTCGATTCCCCGGCCAACACTTATTATTACCCCGATGGATGTAAATTGGTTGAAAACCTCTACTGCAACTTGTCCGGGTGAATCTTCACTGTCAACAGGACATCTGGCACGTGCTGAACAAGGCTAAAAACTCTCGATCAAAACAAAATGAACCAATAGTTTGCAAGAAAACATCTTACGGGGCTTGTCCTACTGATCTAAGTAGTGGAAAATAGCAAGAATGTAAAACTGACCAATCGCAGTTTCGACGCGTCCCAACGATGAGGATTTTGCAGCATTAAACTGAAGGAGAACTTTGATGTACGGCTCTAGCTTGGAACAGTCTTTCGATGGTTCGAAAACAAGAACCTGAGAAGAATAAGGGGATAAATAGGCAGTTGGGTAAGGTTGAACATTTAATCATCGCACACGGAAAACACTAACGGCTACGGTACCGGGGGTCACCACTGTGAAGCACGTAAGATACAACACTCAGGAATCCCCAAGTAGTTATAAATCACTACTATATGCTTGTATGGGACCATTCAGGCAGACCAACAGGCACAATGTGAGGTACTGGTGTACTTGTGCTCAAGCTAACAGTTTGAAACAACAGTCTGAAAATAAGCCTGGACGAAAAAGACTGAACACCGGAGGACTCACGCGCAAACAGTGGTCAAATATTCGCTGCTGCAACACTGCACGCAGTGTATCTTCCATTGTATAGTGGTTAGAAGCGCTAAGCCAGCCTGGACATATGGGCCGTGTGCTTGAGGTGTTGACCAAGAGTGACTGAACGATCGGGTTGCTAGCCCATTGACACCAAGGCCCACTCTCCGAGGTAGATATCATTTGCAAGATACGACTTATCCATCGTACGGGGAAACGCTATAAATGGGACCAAGAAAAACGGGAAAACGGGCGAGTAGAGAGAAAGTTTCAGGTCTGGAATGCATAGGTCACATTAGCATGGGGAAAGTTTGATCACAAACATGACAAGAACGATCACTACCTCTCGTCTAGCCAAAAGGAAAACATTGCACGTTCAAAGGACACAAAATAAACTTCATCCCCCAAGATCAAGGGCAGCGATAAACCAGCAATACATGCTGATTCCTAAATATATATAACGAAGACAGTCTTCAAATTGCATCAATTTTCTAATGAAATAAACTACAACCGCACTCCAACTAGGCAAAGATAATCAGGAGAATTTCGGTCCGACAATTTCCACAATGTCACAGAAACAGAGAGCTCATGTATGCACTGAGCACCATGCAACGTACCGGTGAAAAGATTATTTGACAGTAAGGTTCATGAATCAAATCCGTAGAGGATTTACTGACCGCCTCTGTTTGTGCCCGATTAACCTAGAGCTAAGTCAGTGCTTCCGCTTCCTTAGGGTTGCGTGGCAGCTCCTCAATTTCGAAAAGAAACGCAAACTAATTTGCAGATACCATTTCACAATTTGCCGTATCGGAGTTCAAGTTTTGGAACGTATCGACTGCTACACATACTACTTTCAACCTCCAAAAGGATCATGCTGTTCAATATATTAGCTCTGCCATAACAGCAACACCTACATTTAACAGGTAGTGAGAGAGACCTAGTTCCGAATACGACAAGCTACTGATCACCCAGAGATACAATCTGCGACAAAACTACATGACAGTCTATTTTTCAGGCATATCATTCCTAATTTCCACCTGAAAAATAATTCCGCAAATAACCGAAAAAGGCAACGGAATATCTATCCAGCAAAGTAACGAGCAGTTTGTGCGACGAATTCCGATAGTATCAAAAGTGACAGAAGACAGCTGTGATAGATAGAGTTATTTTTCATCAACTGAGAAAGAATTTCTTTACTGCCCGTATTAGCTGGATATTCAGTGAATTCATGATACCATGATTCTCGCCTTTGTAAGCATGCTTATGCTGTCTTAAAAGTTGTTTCAGATGTGCGGAGCTCACCAATCGTTACATAAATGAAAAAAAAACTAGATTATGAAATGAAATATCCCACATGGGAGACACAAGTCCACTCAGGAATTAAAAGAATAACATGTCAGTCCGTAACAACAACTGACCACGAACAGCAAAATACCAGTGTTTAAATGCCACAACCGTGGAGAAAGTTCTAATAAGTAGGAAAGTAGGAGGAGGGGGTTGTCTGCGATCTCTACGTCCCTAGGGAGTTGAGCCCCAACGATTTTTATGTAACGAACTCCCGCTATTCCGAGTGTACTAACTTATGACTATGAGAATATCGTTTCATCGCTCCATCATTACCAACATGAACATCGCTTAAGCGCCACACATAAAAAAGAAGTTCTATATAGGATGGAATGGAAGGATAGGGGGAAGCTATTACAAAAAGTCATACGTCCCGAGGGAAAACAGTTGGGAGCAAGTTGCTTGAATCAGCCAACACCACTGGAGCCAATTATTGCAACACGAGACCATCACAGGGATTGGTATAAAGGTCTTTGCAGCAAACCTCAGCTATGTGGTGAAGCCAAGTGATAGTATATGCTCACCACCGGGGTCACTCAGTTACCACGTCCTAAAGGATTTCGGACCACGAGCGAGGGGAATCACGAGAATCTAAGTTAGGAGGGTGCAAAGATCTAACGGGTAACAAATTAATGATAGCCACTTCCGCTTCGCATACCCAAGTAAAGGTTTCATCACAAAGCATATGGCATACATAGTACGTGCCCCAGATACCCTAAATTGGCCACGGTATCTGTTACTCTAACGATTATGACTGACTGTTCAGTACTCGCGTGCGGGCCGTTTGATTTACGTTCGTGTCGCAACCAGTTAACACTATGGAAACATCATTGACCAAACACGTTAAGACATTTGAACCCCTGTTTTGCAACCATAGAGTAAGAATGCCAACAAGGTAGCTGTGTAAACACAGTTGTTTAGCTTCAGGCACCGTGCCAGCTGGCGAATTTTGCTCGTGCCTTTATGATGCACACAGTGACTAGCTGTCAGGATGCGGTCAGTGCTTATGCCTTTGTCAAGATAAGTAAACCTATCAGCGGCACGTGAGAACGGGAAATACTGAAGCGGGATTTAGCACTTTTAAAGCGCAAAGCGGATGCCAAAACAGAGGACCACTACTGATATTCTGGTTAAAGTAGTTTGTACGCACCCGTGATCGTCAGATAACGGAAAGCTGCCCGCACAAATCGAGGCCACAAATCTTCCTAACCTTCGCCCAGATTTATGGCCTATTGGATAGTGCGCTCCACAATGGTGTCAATGACAAGAATGAAGAAAAACGGAACGGAGACATTTCTGGTGAACTCCAGTATTTGTGGGGAGATTCTCCGATAATGATGAGCAGCATGGGAATGAAGGGCACGAAGAGTATTCGGGGGCATTTCCCAGTGACCAAGTATATATAGGGCGGTCAACCTGTTCAAAAAGCTGAAAGTCAAGGAAAACCATCATAGCTAGCCGATGGTTGGAATGTTGCGGCTCAGGTACTTAATGTAACATGTCGACGTGGTCGAAACGTTGCTATCGGACTCGCGTAACGAAGTCGGATGTCGCAGCCCCGTTACAACTGGAGGAAGTTTTACATTACAGTGGTTGTGACAGTCGCTTAGAAGACCTTTTCTGAATGGAGGTAGAACGGCTGATTAGCTCCAATTTGCTGGAGCGCATTCTTGTTCAAAAATTGGTTTGAACAACCCGGTTGAGAACGTGAGGGCTCCACATACCGCCTATAGATAACTTTGCTTGGAGCTCATCTGGCTCTGCGATCTGAAACTGAGAGGTTCTAAACCCACGGCTCGAGCCAAAAAACGTGGGTTCCCTAGATGAAGCGTAACAATGAAAAAAAGACAATCGTTCAGCTGTAACGCCCCTTCGGCGCCTAACTGCGATGTCACTAGAAGGAAGTCCGAGGGCTGGGATACTGCCAGATGGTCCAAGACAGGGAAGTCGAGATGCAGAAGCCAGGTTCGAACCACGTACCTTCCAGTCAGTAAATTCACGCTCTAACCATTAAACCATCACGCGAAATGGACTGTGAACTAAAAACGGCAAGCAACTGTCGGTTTTGGCTGAACACACGCCAATTGTCATGGTACTATGGCACCAGGATGACTTGCTCTGGAGGCTGCTCCTCAGCACTATTTAGCTCTTGTACAAATGATCAAAGCTGTACGTCATGCCAGGCAAAGAGCGACCAACCAACCACAAGTTGGAGCCCCTGTCAGTTGTGGTATCTAGTTCAGGAAACAACGGAATAAAGACTCAGTTGGACGCTACTGGACTCTAGCTACCAAGCCAGATGTTGACTGCATCGAGTCAGACCCCGTGTGGCGAACTCACCAGGGGAAGAAACACTGGTTGGCTCTGTGTAAACCTTACAATTCTGACTGTGGCTGAAAAACTGCTGAACGGAATTAGTCGGGACGGATTCTCACTGAAGACAATGCTGAAGACAGAAAGTAAAAGTTCAACACTCACCGTAATAAAGCGTGGAAAAGCGCATCCACGATTCAGAGCAATCGCAAGTATAAAGCCACTTTTGGCCAGTGGTTCCGTTCGTAGAAGCGAATGGTCAGACTGTTTACGTGCATGCTTCAACATTTCGACTGATGTGTCAACAAAGTCCTGGACACAACAGGTGATCAGCTCGGTCCATTCGAGAGACTCGGGAACCGCACACTCTATCTGAAACTCGTTCGGATTATCTTTGGCTGGAATACGTAGGAAAACAAGATGGTTTAGTCTGGATTTTGACTGAAAGCACAGTAATGTAACTGCCGCGTTCAGTCACAGAGAAATGAGCCCGACAACTACCTACAATGATGATCAATCCGAACATATGAGGAAAGTGCACACTTTAAACAAATACCTACCAAGGAGATAAACTTCCAAGAGACGGAGCCGAACGTCAGTGGGCGTAGGACCCGGCTCACCTACTTGAACTGCAATAGGAGTGGCAAGCTTCTCCCCCCAAAACCGAACAGTCCATAGTAGGCGGGGATATCTGAAGCAACTAATGGATATGGTCCTCGCTAAAATTCTCAGCCAAGCGGTGGCGCGGGCCAGTAGGGGGTACCTGGTCATCCCTATTGACTTTGACGACGGAGTACCGAGTTCCGACAAACACATCAGAAGTTTGTTTTCCGCTGTTGACCACGATCCCTGTAGACAAGAAGGATTAAGATCCATAAAGTGGAGGTAAAAAGGACAGGACAGCGCAACGAAGAAATCGGGTATTAAGGTGATCGATGGGAGGAATTTTTATCAAACAGTTTGGAAATTAGCTTGAGGGTTATGACTGTAACGTGAAACTACTGTCGAGGCCGACTTTTCCACCAGGAAACAAGGGCGCTCGATGAATAAATATTTAAACCATAAAGCTCAAAAAATGTAGGTGACTCCTGGAGAATATTAGGTGAATATTATGGTATCCAAATTTCTGAGCACTCGTCCTGATGGGTTTTCACTTGCTTGCTGATAGGTCACACCATTCCGGAACTCTCATGAACAACGTGCATGAAGCTGGGATCAAAATTACAGAAACAGTAATTAGTAACCTCAAGTTAAATATCAAATGTAGTCATAAAGGATAAAAGACTGATGCGAAAACGTTTGCACAGACCTGAGTAATCGCAAGCTTCGCTTCATTCCACATCTTTGCAACACTGGGGGATTGCAAGCGCCGATTTGATTGGCTTTTCTTGATAACCGGAAAGATAGCCCATAGATCCCGCTTTTGACAAGCCCAAAAACAGAGGAACGTGGCAGCGATCCATTGTAGCAGATAGATGAACCAGACACTCCACGGTGTAGTCGATGGCGCAAGTAATTCGGACCAAGAAGAAAACAGGCGGCGAGAAGTGGGGCTTTGTGACCCACCTGAATGAGAACAGCGCGATGATAGGGCGGGTTGTGATTTCGTATACAGCGATTTCGAATTTAGTTTGGTTCCAAAAAGAAAACGCTTAAAACGCTTCAACTCACTATACGCAAATGGTCTGCGAAAAAATCAGTTCACAACTAAAGATGAAAAACATTCCATTCAGATGTACAATCATTTTCACTAGGCTTTCGGTATCAATATGTTTATATCGGACCAGTAGACGAAATCTTGAGACATTCAAATGAGGGGAAAGACCAGCTGAGTTACTGTTTAGCTGACCGCTGAGCAGAAGGAAGGCCGGGAATCACTAGAAGCCTGGGAAGAACACCAAGTATCAAAGGGCAAAAAGAGGGCTTATGTACGTTGCGGGGGTGAAGAGGCAAAACACTCACCCGGCCAATGGTTGACGGCCTACGACGACACAGCCGAATCATGAAAACAGCGGCGCGTCTGTATCCAGACACTGACCTTCGTGTCTTAACTTTTCCTCCTTGTTTCGTTGTGAACACTTGGGCCATTTTCTTCCAACTCTTATCTCTACAACTGACTGTGACGACTATGAATACGGCACTAACGTACACGGCTCATGATAGAAAAATGAAGAGGAATTGTACTCATTGCAATTACGATGCAAAGTACAGAGTGCGGAATTCTGACTAACGTCACCTCATCAATTGAGAATATACCATTTTCATTAGTTGCCTTACTTCTCACAGAAAAGCAGCGCTGAGATGGTCACTAAGAATTCACATGGTAATGGAAAACGGGTGAAACCGTTAGAAAGCGGTCATTGTAGACGGATGTGTGTGCAGTGTTCCTCCCAACCCCCTCCCCCAAGAAAGAGAATGCTTCGAGGAAATCGAGAATTGTCCGCCACGAGTGGAACTCACTCTCTGGAGGGAAGAACGTAACTTAAGTGCTCGTATGGAACGCAAGGGCTTGGGCTATAATTGAGTACGAATTCGCTCGTCTACTCCACTAGGCGGACTCCGATGCACCAAAGAAAAGTGCTCGCAAGCTTGCCTAGGATGTTGAGTAGACAGAGCTCAGGTCCCGGCATGATCAAAAATAAAAGGTGCTGAAGAGCTCCGGCATTAGCTAACTCCATGTTTGCACCTACGATTCATCTACTGAGTGGTGCGGACCACCACTGTGTGCTCAGCTGAATTGACAAACATGAGCATACTAATGACCTCAAAAAGCCAACTTAATGGACTCCCGTCTATCCATAGACCGATGCACGCTATTACCGCCCAAGTCCGTGGTGTTAACCGTACACAACCAGGTTACTGGAGAGATGCCATACAACTGAATATATGAGTTGCTCCAGTAGTACAGGAGAAATGCCAGCATCCACAAGGCGTGTAAGCCTGAGAAGATTAAGGAAAATCTGGAGTTGGAGTTGTCTCGAATCATGTCTCGTTTAAGCTATCACTGGTAACGATGATGCAGACACCAAAGGATGAAAGAAAAGAAACCTTTTTGTGGACACTTACTCACTTCAGACAGAAAAGTCGCTGAAGACAAACAAGTGTGTAGTCCCCATTAGGATTGGATATTTTGATTCCCGCTAGGTTAACCAAGAGCATTGGGACAAGGAGCCAGGTTACTGGCCTCAAAACTATGATGGATAACTGTAAATATATCGTTCTGCCGGCTGAACGAGCAGCCAACGCTATCCGAAGAGCCCAAACGGGTTCGAATGCGGCTCGAGTTCTCCATTCAATGTTCATTTTGTGGCTGCATTGAATTAGCATATGGACGTACCGATACTAATTCATATCGCATTGCGCGTTCGGCTAATTCGATGAGCGCGACTGGTATAGTCATCGGTTTAGAAAGCCGGACTTAAAGGCAGTGGTGGATGGTGGAAGACTACCACAGTAGTCCAGTTTCTGAGGAAAAGTTGTCATCCACGTTCGAACCAACAACCTGGTGGGCCAACGGACTGTACTAGTTGGACATCGACCCACTGACCAACTTGGTGTGAAAGGATATGCAGGTGCAACAAAACACACAATCACCAGCATAGTTCAAATAGTCATACAGGCGCAACCTATCACATCACGATAATCTCGTCTCTTTGTGACGAGAAGTACATCATACTATTTTTCATATAGAAACGTAATAGTACTTTCATAAAACGGCTCGGGTAATGCTCAGGATGACCTCAAAAAGGAGCGAAAAATGCTACGAGAGCAAGTTCTGAAGAATGTGCAGAGTTTCGGACTCCAGATTTCGGACTCCCGTCTCGTTATCCTAGGATTTTGTCAGATAATAGTAAGATAAGTACCGTCCGGTGTTTTAAAAGCTGAGGCACATGAGGTCTTTTGTTCACACTGAGACTCATCAGTTGAGTAGAGTCGATCGCCTAATCCCTTGGGCAATGGTTACGGCTGCGGTAATTGTCAACTGACAAATCTGGGTAGGTAGAGGTGCCGAAATTAGGTGTGACCAATAGTATCAACCAGATGTTACCTCGGAAAAAATGTGACTACTGGTGAATAGTGTATTTGTTAATCGATTCCAGATAAGCCCTCGATAATCAGTAAACTACGGAGTTGGGGCTTAACGAATATCGAACTCTGAAAATCTCAGCCACGCCGAAATCACATAATATTTTCATGGAACTATCTCAGGGATTTTGCGTGAAAACACCATAAACAAGATATCAGTGAAGTCAAGAAGGGACAACACCCAAATCCTATGATATTATAGCTAAAACAAACACCAGAAATCGAATATCTCTATTCACTGAATAAGAGCCACACAGTTATCCTGAACAAGGGCTATAGATTTAGTCACCTACAAAGATAAAGACTGTCTGGTGTGGTAAAGAAAATCGTTTGAAAATGAGTATAGGATATACTTCAGACACTTGTTCGGGTCCGAAAATAAGTTACATGTAACGCCGTTTTAATCAACTCCGTCAGGCAAATGAACGCATCCTTACAGCCCTCAAACGTGTGGACGTGTACACAAACAGATACAATCGTACTTATATTCGACGCAGTTAAAAAGGTATCTGCACGGGTGGGGAAACAAGGTTGAGCCGCGATACAAATTTGCAGCATTGCTCACCTGAGTCAGTGGCGTGGCTTCCAGATCCTGAGAGTGTGGTCAGGTCCACAGTTATGAGACAGAGAGCGGCGACACAAAGCGTCGTACGAGCTGCTACACCATTAAAGCCGGAAGTCTGACCATGTACATAGTGTGCAGTGGACTCGACCATCTGAGAGGACAAAGCATTAGTGGTCGGTGGGACGTTGACAGGCGGGGAACAAAGCAACTGCCTTACGACTGGGAGTGCTTTTGGATTTGGCGGGGAAGTCGAGGTGTCCGACAGCTTGCTGGAAAGCTGTGAAGCACAAGGGATTATCAGACCGGATGGCCGTTGACTGTTGTTCGCAGATGGTGCTAGTAAAGTCTGTCGGCGTACTTTGACTGGTCCTGACTGAACCGGACACACTAAAGTACAAAAAAAGCTTCAAATTAAATTTTAGTGTAAAAACCAAGAATCGTTTTACATAAAAGAGAAACAGACGAAACAGGTTCACACAATTCGCATTCTACCGACAGCAAATTTAGTCTCTTCTAGATCGAAGTGAAGCACACTGACTGTCCGCGTGGCATGTCAAAAAATGCAGCGGAAAATAGATGGGATGGGACCAGAAGCAACACGGAAATTAGTCACGTCATGGTGACACACTGAACGCGTTAGATCTGATTACTGGTACCATTCAAGGCACATCGGACTGCGCCTAGTGACAGTCAGGTATGATATCGAAATGCGGAAAGCCAATAAAGTACATTCCCGAGGCATTCCAATTGGTTAAGTGGATCCAGACCAGCGAGCATTGAATGCAACAGAGCATGCGAGGTAGGAACAGTGCAGAGAAGCCTGCAGACAGGTTGGAAAGAGTCGTTTCTCGAAATACAGATATCTTCACTGCGAATCCAAGATTGGGAATAGTTATCGGGCTGTTATCTATCTTGTTTTACCCTGCCGCAGCTTCTAGACTGTTCTAAGGCTCACTTTTACGGATTCTAACTTTACCAACTTCAGTATGCTGGGCTATGCTTGAGCCGTCCAAGTACCCAGCCGCTAGAATATCGATCACACATGTGGTAAGTTGGTGAGAAATGAATCCACTACTCAGCTTGGACAGTGTTCGTCGGTTATACAAATGATTAGTGATATCCACTAAACCACTCATTTGCACACCAATTGGAGATTTGAACGAGACTCGAATCTACCACTCGCTTGGAATATTTTTTTAACCAAACATGCGGTGCCAAAGCTGCCTTAGTGTGATTTGGCCCGATATTTAAGATGTGGAAACATTTTCAAATTTCCATATGACACTGTTGGTTGCTGATACTACTCAGGATATAGGAAATGCGATCTTAGAAGGTTGTGTAGTGGTAGTCATCAGTCGCTTTTAAATATTACATTCGGCTGTGTCGAAGATTCCGTGCAACATTCGCTCCCGAAGGACAGTGCCCATCGAGTGGACTAGTTTGTTCACAACCCCCAAAAAGTTAGGTTATTATAATGTACGGTCAGCGGTCTTCATAGCGCCGTAGGAGAAATCAACCGTAGCTATCGACATTCGTGAGTCAATCGTAATATCCTTCTAATGTGGGACATTTTGTCTCAAAGTTTTCTAGTTATGTTGTGCGGAAATGCCGTTCGCAGATAGGTGGCCTTGTAGCCCGACGCAATGTGGAGGGGTCACTGTCATGAGTGCGTAGCTAGCTGCCTCTTATCGAGGAGTAATTTAAGATGAGGGGGCTACAAAAACTATCGCATCTTGTCTGCAGGCTACCTCATGGGAGTTTGAATCGCGGAATTGTTTTCATGTGCGAGATTTACCTCGAGGACGAATATGAGTTTGCAAAGAAACAAGGATTAAGAGAGATAAAGCAGCGAAAGTCCACACGGTGGAAACTCAAAAATTGGATTACACCCATTTTTATGAAGGCAATAATATAGCAGACTCATACTGCTCATGCGGTACGTGAAAGTTCGCACGTCGTCCTGTCGATTTCAAGCATAACCTAGGGTAATAAGCAAGATGAATTATCGGACGAACCAAGATGAGCGAAGAAAACAAACCGACTATCTAAGTCGATATGAGTTGGAAACAAGAAGCCCGAAAACCGGTAATTTGCTTACACAGTCGTTTCCCATGGTAGACGTTCACCAAATGAGCCGATCTGTCATGACCGTTCCGTGCGTGCGATGCAAGGGAGGCTGTACTGTTTATGGAGTGCGGATTTCGCTCGGAAGGTGCGGATAAATGTCTGTAAGAAGCGTGATCCTGACCAACTGTACTCGGGAAATCGGCTGGTCCGTATGATGGTGAAAAAACAAACATCTGATGTGCTTCAGCAGAGGTAACCAAATCAACCCCATCGTCGAACGACACTTCCGAGCACTGCGTGTTACCCAGTGATCGGACGTCCGACGCATCGACCAGCTGGGGAGAAATCTCTCCATCTATTGGCCAATTATTTTGTTTTGCATCCAACGCATCAAGCAACGTCATCGGGTGTTCGTTTGAAATAGTTCGGGAGGTAACCGACATGCCATTATGGTATGAGCTCCCACAACTAGTGTCCGATGATAATGGGGGCGAGGTAAAGCCACCAAAGTCGAGACTGCTGATATTCGTTGATGAGGAAGGCGAGGGTTCAAAGGACACGATCCCACTTTCAGGACTTCCGTCTGAAATCGAAATATGTGTTTTACGACTGTATACAAAACTTATTTTTAATTTGTTCTGGAACCTGTGAAAGCCCCGGAGAAACCACAAACTTATTAAATAAATCGGCTATTTGAATGCCAGTGATGTCAAGTTGAGATTCGAACTCGCGTTCGCGATGCTAAACTCAGCACTCGTATTGATTCGTACCGGTATTCAAGACTTACTATAAATGCACGACTAACTTAAAGAAACGACATCTCATACTTACTATGTAATCGGCCACAAGAGTGCAGAGAACGAAGGGTGAGTACTTCCGCCTGTAGACGTTCATTCATTTCCTGCAATTCTCTTATACGATCGATGGCTTGGCGCAAAACAGCAGATTTGTTCATCTGTAAAAACAAAAGGTGTATAGGGTGGAGAAAACCCCCCGTAAAGTGAAACATTGGAGAGGAAGAGTTCACATATCGTGCTGAGCGAATGAGATACAGTGGGAGCCGCACACGCTGTTTAGTCTAGTGTAAGTACACATAGGTCTTCCCGAGTGATGACCGAACGTCTACAAACCTGCTGGCAAACTTGGCTAAAAGGCCAACAACTAATAACACATGCCTTTCAAACTCATCTGCGACTGCTCGCGGGTAAGCTACATAAACTATACTTAGTCCTAAAAAATCCGCCCCGCTGTAGTAACCTTTCGGTGCCTAGCTGCCATGCCAACCGAAGAAAGCACGAGGGCTCGGTGCCTACCGCCATGCCAACCGAAGAAAGCACGAGGGCTGGGATATTGCCCGGTCGCTCAAACCTAGGCAGGAAAAGTCGAGATACGGAGGTCGGGTTTCGAAACAAGGACCTTCCGGTTAGTAACCACTGAGCTATCTGAGCCCCCAACTTAGTCCTCAGCGACCAAACGACTTACAAGATATGGAAAGAAAATAATTCTGGATATATTGTGGATCCAAATTTCGAGTCTGAAGGGTCCGTTGGACAAAGATTTGGGCACAATCATCCATCATCCCGTTGCTACCACCAGAAATACGAATCCCAACTTATTAGCTCAGCTTTCGGGTTGGTGTAGATAATACCGACGTATATCTGGAACCTCGAAACACGAATAAGGTGAATTTCAAGAAAAACCAATTTCTAAAACTTCCTTCTAGTAGAGGGGGACTAGTGGACTCGATTGAATCACCCCTTTCACGAAACACGGCACTTCATCTGATCCTCGATAATGTCCTGCAGTAATTTAACAGGAAGGATAATCTTCTTTGCAGAGAGTGAAGAAAAGCTGCCCTCCCTACCAACCCAGGCTTATTGTAACACCCTGTCGAAGAGGGATATCCCAAAGACAAGTTCAAAATTACCTTTCCTCGTGGAGTTCCCAAAGTTGGAAATCCATAGTGTTACCACAAGGACGAGTCGCCGTAATTAGTGAGGCTGTGGAATAAAGTGCCTGGCTAGCGAGACGCCAATAAAAATCAATAATGAAGTAATAAGAAGCTGAGCTAGAGAGGCAGTTCTCCCACAACTCAACAACCGAAAGGGACTCAGGTTCGGTGTTTATCCTAAATGTCGGCAGAGGAATCGATAAGGAAATAATAGCATCGCTGAGGAGTAACTCTTAGATAAAAACTCGCGTGTTAAAAGCCGTTGTAAGCAAAAGTATCCTTGTATTCAACTATCTAGTCAGAATTAAGAAATACATAGGCAGAGTGACATTGCACTGTTCCTTTCGTAGGAAGTAGGAGAAATCTTACCTTTGCATCACTGGTCGGATAAGGAATTAGGATCTTTCGCAGCTCATCAATTCGACCGTTGATACTTGCCCGATATCGCTTCTCAATCGCATTGTGCGGCGCCCTCCTGTTGTTCTTATCTGCGCTTTTTGATCGATCGTACGGGGATTCAGCACCATCTGAAACCGAAAAAAGTGCTCTTTCAAGAGACCGAATGACTCGAGTAGAAGCATTTCAACTAGAACTACATTATATAGAACTTAAGCTTTCGAGAAAGTGAGTGACCAAGCTTTGATAAAGCACCATAAGGAACCTATCGACACTTCACATAAAAAATAGGTAGTAAACCTGTTGCGTTATCTCACAAAAGATGGTACCTGTGATTAGTCTTCTGTCGGTAGTGTTTGTTTAATTTATGGAACAAAGTAGGGGTGAGTTCCAACCCTTTCCGTCCGATTCCGCCCAAGTCATTCTTTGTGTTAAGACTGATGAAGTAAAAAAAGCATCTGCCACAATTCTGTCTCTTCATATTACCATAAAGGCTCTACATCGTTCAGCTGCAGCACTCTTCCGGTGCCTAACTGCCACGCCACCAGAAGGAAGAACGAGGGCTGGGATGATGCCAGGTTGCCCAAGCCTAGACAGGAGAAGTGAATAGGCAGAGGTCGGGTTCGAAACACGGACCTTCCGGTCAGTAGATTCGCGCTCTAACCACTGAGCCATCTCGCTCTACATACCTTCTCCCGTGGACACATACGTGTCTACAGCAAACCCACATCCACTGGGTGTCAAGTAAGGATGCTTTCTGTTGAGGAGAAGCAGACAGTCTCGAATAAATGGACTGAGTCAACAATGATGCCCACTTCCTAAAATGAAACTCGCAGAGCATGTAGGAACCACATAGATGTCAATTTGACTCCTGTTGCAACAAGGCTTCCGGTGTCACTGATTATTCGTCGTCTTAGAACCTGACTTAAGAGCGGAAAGCAGGATTCCGACCAGAGGATGTGTAGACCACATCTTCATGCTCGTCCAGGCGTAGGAACAACATCAACCGAACAGGCGATCCACAGTCTTGGTGTCCCTTGAGTTCTAGAGTGCGCTCGATTGCGTCAACCATTATCACTCAATAGTGTATACCCAAGAAGCTTGCGAACATAGTCCGGCCCCTATATCCACACAAATGGGGAGGTAGGACTACAAAGAGTGGTGTCCCACAAAGATACCCACTCCCTCCGTCCTTGTTCAGCTTTACCACTGTTGTTGAATAGACCGACTTTCATTATTATCTTTTAGCATGCGGCTTGCACTTACAAAGTACTTCAGGACGTAGTCTTCAAGCATAACCCTTACATTTCAAGGAGGATCACTGAAGTTAATGAGAATTTTACACAGCTCGGAAGTTGTATTAGCTCTGGCAGATTATGTCTGATGAATTCGACGCAAGAATCTCAAAGACCAGAATCACACTTGCTAATTTGCATCATTTGTGGCGTCAAGGTATGTTATTGGGTAAAGAGGGCCACGTGTACCAAGTTACAGTAAGGGCTGTATGCGAGACATGACTTCTGCGGGCAGGTGATGTCAGGCGAATTCAGGTTTTTGACCATCTGTGCCTCAAAAGCAGTTCTGGTTTCGGATAGCCTCAACGGATTGGTAGTTAGGTATTAAGAAAACGTGCATCTGGTTGTGCAGTAGGTACTTTAATTGTGGAAAACATTAAGAACCGCCTACTATAGCGACTCGGCCGTGTTATACGCATGCCGAATCACGGTCTATCTGAACGATTGCTGTTATCCGTGCCTACTTTAGAGTGGCGGAAACCGCGAAGGATATGAAAGAGATTACGAAGAGTTTGGGTATAGTTGGTGCGATCTGCCTCCCGGGATGGGATCCCCGTGACCACTGGAGAAATAGCGGCTGATGGACGTTAGTGGCTTTTGTGCTGTCAGCCTCCCTCTAGATTGTCTGACTGAAGTGTAGGCACCTCAGCAGGGTTGTGATAAGTTAGCACCAGGTCCCATCCCTCCGTCACTACCTCACTTTAGGGCCTTAAACACTAGGTAAACGTTGTGGTTGCACGGCAGTGAATTATCGGAGTCAACACTGTTACTATATCTAATGATGATGGCATGAGAACGCCCCTACCTAGGTAGCCCGCCTTGTGCCTCCAGGGGACCGCATGTAGCAGTTATACATAATTAATTCCCTCCATCTGGGTTGCCGGCTTTCATTGCATCGGGTGTCAAAGGAGCGTACAAGTTCGGTATGAAATGACATTGTAATACTGATACACACAGTACTACCACAAGTGTGCACGGTATGATTCAAAGTATACATAACAGGATGTCTTTGTTTTTTATATAGCTATATTAGCACTTAAGGAACATCGTAACAAAAAACACATCATGTCTACGAGTGGGTAGGAACTTAATCACGTCCCTTCCAAGATTCCGGCAATATATCAGACTGCGCACAACTGATGTACAAAAGCAAAAACACCATAAGGTGGACAACGATACAGCTTGTGAACTGATACGTGTCCTGTGCCACTCCAAAAGAGCGAGCTCCCACACAAAAACTTCAAACTGGATGTGATGGAAGGGGCTTGCTGCAATTGGGGCCTCTAGATCTTCCGCGCAAAACCAGCATGACGAAACGTCTTTGGGTAATTGATGGAAAATAGAAGAGGAGTAGGGAACGGTTGGGCTCGTTCTCAAGGTATATATTCACGATATGCGGCTGTTCGCGTTTTGCACATAGACTCCAAGACCAAACATTACAATCTCAATATGTTGTTTTTGCCGCTATTTCGGCAAGTCAATATCTAGTGGTTTTGATGTCTAGTATGGCACTGAATACAAGCTACATTAGGGACCGATCACATTACTTTGGGATTACTCATGGTATTGCTCATGAAATGCATCGGTAAAAATAGAACGTAAAGGACGCATACGAAGTCATCCGTTCACTCCTTTTAAAAAGGGAGAACAAGTCGAGTACTATGTGAAACACGATTAAAAATATAAGAATTTAGATCGAAGGTACCAAAGGTGGCAGGTGTGCAAAACACCTAATGGAGTTCGATGGAAAACCCAGTTGCGCCGTTAAACAGCCCGCAATCAGGTTGTCGAAATGGTACCAAAAAGTCACGAAACACTAACCGTCAAATTTTCTGTCCGTTTGGTCAGGGTACCACCCACATATATCAGCTGTGTCGGGATTGGAATGAACTGAAAACTCATGTGCGTCCTTGCAGCCCGCCTGGTGCAGTCTATTCGCATAGCCTGTTCAGTGAAAATGATTAATGAAATTAAGCCATACCAATAAAGTATCGGCGAGGATGTTTCGAGAGCGGATCTTCCGTCTCACACTTCTCAAGATAGTCACGGATCAGCCTCGGTTTTACTCCACTAACTCCATCCTTTAATGAAAAGGAAAAAGGAATCCATGAGGAAAAATGAAGCGCCTACTTTGGGTAACAAAGGTTTCTCAGGATCTGATTTTAAAGTTGGCAGGGAGTTCCGTCGGTGATTTGAGGATAAGTTCAGATTGCTAATATCGCGAACCTTCAAATGTGTAACGTTGGGAGAGGCCTTTGTTAGATCTGAGCATAAATCAGGCGCTGGAGGGACGCAAGACACAGGGTTTCGGGACTTTAAAAGAGCTTCCAGAGTGGTGCTATTCGAACAATCCCATCGACTCTCCCCATCTGACTCGATCTTGTACTCCGATTCGGAGACATCGATGACACCATCATCCTGAGATTGGCTGATATCACACGAGATTCCATTTAATTCCGTCAAATCAATGTCGCTCAATAGTTTTTCCGTGAATTCGTTCAGCAAGGGATCATCGAAGATGTCTGACAAACTGTCCAGAACATCCATCAGAGGGACGCTCCACGAGGTCACGCGATGTGCCAAGGTCACCAGCGCCGTAACCTACGGTTTAGGATATATAAACACGGGTTCACGTATTCACGGATGGACACACAGGATCTAGGCTTTTGCCCAAGTTTCCACGGATTGACAGGATCTAGGCTTTTGCCCAAGTTTCCCGGGTCGGTTTTGTTCTTGTCGTTCAGTGACTGTCGTTCACCTGAGAGGCACGCACAAAAGAAAGGTGAAGCACTG